GATAATACTTTCTGTGAAGCACTGTCGGAAGGCCTAGCACACAGAGACCATGTTGTAGCTGGTTATTCTGTCATGTTGAGTGAAAGAGAAGGAACCTGGAAATGGCTGCTTTGGAATTCTGACCATCTGATACCCTCCATTTTTCTCATTAATTAAAAAACGTGAAATGTCTTGAGGACGTGACAATGGGGACTTGGAAAGGGCATGAGATTGGAAAATTGAAGTTGGAGAGTGGCTGTTACCCTGGACTCCTGATGGTGGAATCATCTCTTCTCAATTGCAGTGGAAGCTTTGGATTCTTGAAAACGAGGAGGCTGAAGCTAGAGCTTTTGGGGCCTGGCCCCCCTCTCTCTAGCATGCTGCAGGGACATTTTTTAAAGCCATCCCAATGCTGAGGCCCTCTGTATTCAAGCTTGAGGCATCTCCCTGAACTTTTAAACCAAATATCTTCCAAAGGTATTTGGGAGGGTCTTTCTAGTAATTCCCTGTCTCATTTATTCTCAATATTCTTCAGATAAAGTGTAGTTTGAAAATTCAGGTTTTTGTTTCTTTCTTCTCTTCATAGATTTGTGAAAGAAAAAAGACCTACTATATCTCCGAACTTCAATTTTCTGGGCCAACTGCTGGACTATGAGAAGAAGATTAAGACCCAGACTGGAGCCTCAGGGCCCAAGAGCAAACTCAAGCTGTTGCACCTGGAGAAACCAAGTGACCCTGTCCCTGCAGTCTCAGAGGGTGGACAGAAAAGTGACATGTCCTTCAGTCCACCCTGTGCCCACTCTGCTACCTCAGAGGCAGCAGGGCAAAGGCCCGTGCATCCTGCCAGTCTGCCCAGCATACAGCCAGCTCTGCTGGAGGACAGCCCACTGGTACAGGCACTCAATGGGCTCCACCTGTCCTCAGACAAGCTGGAAGACAGCAATAAGCTCAAACGTTCCTTCTCTCTGGATATCAAATCAGTTTCTTACTCAGCCAGTATGGCAGCATCCTTACATGGTTTCTCCTCATCCGAGGATGCTTTAGAGTACTACAAACCTCCCAGTGCTTTGGATGGGACCAACAAGTTATGCCAGTTCTCCCCAGTTCAGGAGGTATCAGAGCAGACTCCAGAAGCCAGCCCAGATAAGGAGGAAGCCAGCATCTCCAAGAAGCCCCAGACTAGCAGGCCTTCAGACAGCCAGAGCAAGCGACTGCACTCAGTAAGAACCAGCAACAGTGGTGCCACCCAAAGGTCTGTCTTATCTCCATTGCATCGGAGTGGGAGTGTGGAGGACAACTATCGCACCAACTTCCTTTTTGGCCTTTCCACCAGCCAGCAACACCTCGCAAAGTCTGCTGCTGGGCTGGGCCTCAAGGGCTGGCACTCAGATATCTTGGCTCCCCAGACCTCTACTCCTTCCTTGACCAATAGCTGGTATTTTGCCACAGAGTCCTCTCACTTCTACTCTGCCTCAGCCATCTATGGAGGCAATGCTAGTTACTCTGCCTACAGCTGTAGCCAGCTGCCCACTTGCAGTGACCAAGTCTATTCTGTGCGCAGACGGCAGAAGCCAAGTGACAGAGCGGACTCACGGCGGAGCTGGCATGAAGAGAGCCCCTTTGAAAAGCAGTTTAAACGCAGAAGCTGCCAGATGGAGTTTGGAGAGGGCATCATGTCAGAGAACAGGTCTCGGGAAGAACTAGGGAAAGTGGGCAGTCAGTCTAGCTTTTCAGGCAGCATGGAAATCATTGAGGTTTCCTGAGAAAAAGATACCTGTGACTTCTGTTGACTGATATTTTTTTTTCTTGTTCACAAAAAATTATTCCCTGTAAATCTGAAATATATATATGTATATACATATATATTTTTGGAAAATGGAGCTATGGTGTAAAAGCAAAAGACGGATCAACACAGTTGTTCCTGCTTAACATCTGCATTTGGGAGATCAGCTAACATTTCTCTCAACAAAAGTGGAAGGGCAGATGCTAGATTTCCCGCTAGACAGATGAAGTGAATTGCGTATCCTCTTGTTCTTATAAAAGCAAGTGAGAGGACAAAATCCTCTGCCATTTTCGTGTTGTGCTACAAAGAGATCTCAGATACTGGTCTTTGCCCAGTCCCTTCCATAGTGCACCTTAGCGCTGAGACTGAGCCAGCTTGTGGGTCGGGTGGGTAGACCCCGTTAGGGACAGAAACCTAATGGTAAATCCAAAAGAAATGATCGCATCAGAAGCTGATCCACAGATCCAAGCTCACCTGACAGCTGAGTGACACATGCATCATTCTCTGGGCAGACCATTAGGGGACTTGCCAAGATCTACTTTAGAGCAAACCCAGTACCTCAGACAGTCAAGATGGAGCTTTCACCACTACCGTGTCTGGGAGCCCGTTTTCTAAGCGTTGTGAATAGGTAGGTAGCTAGTCACACTTTTCAGACCAATTCAGACTGTACATGCACAAATTTCCAGTTGGGCCTGAATGGAGGTAGTTAAATTTTTTTTTTCTCAGCTTTATGAAGAAAGCAAAGGGAAACCATCTAGGATTCAATTTAACAGTCAGGAATCTGGCAGCATAATGATTTAAGCTGAAGTTGGGAGGCTAAATAAGTCTGCCTCCCTCTTTATAAATCAAAGAATTGTTTAAAATGGGATTGTTAATCCCTTAAATAAAGATTAATTTGGTTTCAAGCCAAATGTGAATTTATTTGGGTTGGTAGCAGAGCAACAGCACCTTCAAGTTCTCAGCCAAAGTCGACGTTTTCCATTTCTGTCCCATTGCATGGATGCAGCTTCTAAAAATGTTAATAAGGCAGAATTTTAGAAAAAACTACCAGGAGGGAGAAAACCCGTGGGAAGGTTGAGGACGGTGAAAGCCGCTGAGCGAAAAGTCAGCAGGAAACTTACTTTCTCAGTGTGTGTCGCTTCCTCTCCCCTTGGCAGGCGACGAGGGTGGTGTTTCTACATCTTCCTCAGACTTTCACATTTACTAATAGGGCTGAGCGAGGCTTCAATAAGCAAGGGAATGTTCAGAATAAAACAGCCGGTCTAGGAAGGTGACGAGAAGGTTGTTAAATTTTGTTTAGTTGTTGGTACAGTGGAAAACCACAGACAGGCTATTCTCAGAAACTATCCCCAGCATCTTTTCATTAGAAGGAGTGCATCCAAATGGGGCAAGACCAAGGTGGTCTCTCAGTCCTTGAGCTACAGTCACTGTGTGGAATCAATCCTGGCAGCTGGAAATATGAGGTGATTAGAACAAGTACACAGTGATAGTATGTATCTGCTTTTAAACTTCCTGCCTTGAGTTCTGTCCACTACAGTACGGCCCTCTTTGAAGCCTTAATTTACGTCAGCAGCTGTTTTGTTTTTTGGGGGGTGGTCGTCGTCACTGTTACGTCCTTTACTATAAGTGTAGCTAGTCGCTGACTCATATCTCAGGTTTTTTGATGTTCGAGAAATGGACAGTCCTTTGACTAGGATGTGACTTGATGTTTCCTGTGGTGACTGCTAAAACCAGCATGAAATGACATGATTCAAAACTGACTAACTCGATCATGAGAATTAGGCGCTTCACAGACGTAACTGGTTACGCACAAATAATGTGCAATGATACGGGCATAAAATGAAGGCAGAAAGAGAGTAAACTGCACGGGGAGAACATTGCTGACACATTGAAAAAGTTCTGTTGAATGATCTGAGTTAGTTTTTATATATACATGTGTGGAAATTTTAAATATTCGCTGTAATCAGACATTCTCATGGTTTCACCGTCATTTCTGATGTGTTATTTATCCGACACACCAAATGCCTAACAGCTCACTGCTTCCAGAGCCTGGTTACAACTGTCAAACTTTTTTAAGAAATGAAAGCAGTAGCTCCAATGTTACGTTTCAGGTGGCTTGGGGCACTTGGTTTTGACAAGAGATCTCTTGGCAGAAATCTGCCTTTCATCATTTAGGGTTTCTCTTGATCATGGACACCTTCCTTCCTGTAACTGTGATGTAGTCGTACACCACAGCTTTTAGTTCTTGATCACTAATGTCAAATAATCAATTCTTGGAATCAAGACTACCCTGCTGGAGGGGCAGCCTTGGGGGCAAGTGTCGGAGCTGCGTGGGTGTCAGAGGGTAGCACGGTGGCTGGCTCTCCTCAGCATGCGATCGTAGGGGAAGCCCTGGAGTCTACTAGACGATACGCCTGGTGATTTGAAAGAGTGAAACTAGACCTTCCATGTGAGAAATGCTGGAGAATGGTGGGGACATTTGTAAGGTTTGGTGGAAGGACTGTGTAAATGTTTAAGATGAACACAGTGTTCTTTTGGTGTAAGGCAAGCTGTTGAATGGTTAAACTGTGCATTTCTCATTTTGATGTGTCATGTATGTTAATATGATGAAATAAAATCAAAACTGGTACCTGTTTATACATAAATATGAGAAAGGACCTCTCTTTCCAGCTGTAAACTTGGCGGGAACGGTACTGTCCGAGTTGCCAAAGGAGGCGGCAATGGCACCTACCCCCTAGTCTCACGTAAATGAGGATTTAGCCCAAAATCGGTGGAGTCACCAGATGTGTTATGTGCCCTGTCTCATTCACATGGAACACTAGGTCATTCATTAGCACAGGAAACACTGGACCATAAGCCAAAAGTTTAGTGCCGGCTTCATTCTTTAATTGTATACTAACTGAATGCTACAGGGTGGAAATTTAAAGCACTTGGTAAATATTTTCTGACTGATCCCAGAGCACCCAAGTACAGGGTCGGCAGAAGAAAGATCAGATGCACACTCGTTGCACACGCTAATGTAATATGTAAGTGATTTTGTAATTCTTGTAGGAAGAACTAAGGAGGGGTGGTTACCATCCTTGCCGTGTACGTCTTAACGACCTCTGCTTATAAACGACACCGGACATGACGACTTACATTGACGTATCGGCTTTACCTCCTAGAAGCTTAGCTGCATCCGTTTTTCGATAATTATGTATTAAAGGAAAGAAGCGCCGACCTTTCATTGCGAGCAGATGCAATAATGAACACAGTATCGTCGTTGACTTCATTTAAGTTGGCCGTGAAAGGCTTCTGAGTTGAAGTTAGATTTATGAAAATTTAAAAGCAAGAAGGATTGGACTGGGCGAGCTAGTACTAGAAGAGACCTGTCTCGGCCAGGATCCTGCAGAAAAACAGGTGGGAGCGGGACAGAAGACTAAATGACGTGTTTTCAGTGGGAGACTGTGGATGAAGCGCACGGTGTGGGTCTCAGGAAGGCCTGAGGGTCAAGACAGCTACTTAAAAGCAGACCGATCTTGGAGCCCTTGAAGACCAGCCTGAGCAGGGTGACACTGGAGGACTAGTTTGGATTTGACAACTAAAATCAGACCAGGGCGTGGACTAAGGGGAAGTAGGGAAGGTGTGGATTTTTGAGATGTGAAGGAAAGTCAGGCAAAATTGGAGTAGGCCCTGATGTCCAAAGAGAGATGATGTGAAGCATAGGGCATGTATACTGGGACTAGTCAACAAAACTTTTTACCTCAAAACCTTCACTGTTGTTTTAAATACTGGTTGTGTTTTTTGTGACACTAAGCAGGGATGTTTTAGGTCTAGTAAATAAAATTTGTCTAGGTGTTCTTTTCTGAGTATTACCTTCCCTTGGATATCTAAATGGAAGAGGGAAGTAAGTTATTTCTAGCATTTGTGGATCCCATTCATCCTTGAACAGCATAATTATACTCCCTTATATCTTTAAAGTGTTGCAAAACCAACTGGAAAATTAGAGCCCAGTTCTGCAGATGTTCACGAGTCGATCATATTGTTGCAGTTTATGTGCATAGACATCAAACTGCAGTTATGTAAAAACAGAAGTTTCGTTCCTTTGGTTCTAGCTGAAACACTAGGATCAGTTAGAGAACGCTGTCCCACAGGAAACATAGAACGTAACCTTGTAGAAGCAGTGTTGCAGGTAAACAAAGATAACTTGGAAAGGCTTAGTTCAGATATGGTCTTGCTTCTTTCTGGTCTGGGAATTAATGACAGTTTCAAAGACTGGATTAAAAGTGCCTGGTTCACAAAAGCTTTTAGCATAAGTCTGCTTCACTATATAATAAAAAACAGCAGTAGGAATGAACCTTAATTGGTGAAGAAAAATTAATTGGGCCATCAGTAAATTCCATCAGGTTTTCAACAGTGGTGACCCTGAAAAAAGTCCTAGGAGTTACAGCCGGACACATACACACCAGCACACCATTCTAGTACACAACCAAATCTACAAATCCGAGTCTCTGGTGGAAGCGTGTGAATGGTGCAGTGGTTACCACTGCCTCTGTAACCAGGACATCTTAGTGGAAGCCACCTGCCTTGTGTGTCTGAAGCCTGAGAAATTATTGTAAATTAATTGTATGTTGCCTGGGTAGAACTGAGGGACTTGACACCAATTACCCATTTTCTCTTTTTTCCACCACTGTGGAGGACATCACAAGGGAAGTTCACTGCTGACTAAAGCCTTAATAGGCAAGATGGCAGGAAGTTTAATCAAAGCATAAGCCAAGAATAAGTTTTTAGGCTTAAGATTTCCTGAGCTGTACGTGCCAAAGATTATGGGATGGAGAGGATACAGTCACCAGTCTTCAGATAGCAGAGAATTCCACCTTTGTTGACCTAGCTTTGTCCCTTCAGCTTTTTGATACAGACAGTAGTTGGCCTTCCCTTCTATAAACTGTTGCCTTCTTGGATCGAAGGTGATATGATTAGGACCAACACTTGCTCCACTTGTTGAAGGTCAAGTAGCAAAACTGCTTGGCAGAATAGAAGGAAACCTACCTTTCACCCTCCTAAATGAGAACAGTCCTACTGTGCCATTAACAATACTACCTGGATTCTATTTAGTGCTTGTAGAGCATATACGATCCCAACTGAACGTTCCATCAACTCTATAAACAGTGGACAGGTAAGGATGGTGCGTGGAGCTGCACATCCGCACAGACTTACACCAACTCTTCTATTACCTCCCAAGAGTGGACTTTGGCAGTAGCTTGGACTCCCAGATCCAAGGGAGTAGATAAAGTGTGGCAAGGGGGCAGATTTGGCAGAGATGGGCTTAAAGAATAAAGCCAGCCCTCTTCCTTGGCAATAGTGATCAGGATGACATGTTGGCTGCAAGCTTGCTCACACTCCTCTCTGTGGATAAAGAGCAAGCTCTTGATATTTGAGTCTCACTGGAAAAATAAGCAAGAATGTTAGTTAAAAAAAAAAAACAAACACCATATTGAGTGTATACTCTTCCCACAGCCGACAGTAAGACTTTGTCAGATGCAACTGTATCTTTCTAATCTCATGAGCAGGGACTCCTTCTCTGCGTATGTGACTATGGAGTGGAGGGAAATGGAGTCATATTTTCAGGACCCAAGAGGAGCTCCTTCACTCAGAGGTGTCCATGCCACCATGCATCCCTTCCAACTTAGAACATTCACTTGTATTCCCATAAACTATAATTTTACAAGGTAGAAGCTACACTTAATATCTTCTCACCATGAACTAATCTTGATATAAGCCATCCTCTAGATGTGTTTGGGCATTTTCCATTCTTGAACACTGAAATGATTCTATCACATTGCCATTCAAATATTTCCCACACACCATTTCACAAATGGTGACACTGTCCTTCAGTAACACAGTTATTTAACAGGGAAACTTTGTTAGGTGCAGTCGGGAGAGGCAGTCTAATTAGAAGATATTTTAAAAGAATCCGTTTTACTCTATTTAAGTGCATACCACAATTTGAAGTATTGTCTGGGCCAAGCAGTTAGGGACCTCTTGGCTGAGTAGATACTACTTTAAATGAAGAGTGTTGAGTAATACCATACCTTTGGTTCTCTCTGATCCAACTTAGAACTGCATCTCGCATGGCTTCAGAGCACATCAAATCCAGCAAGACATCCTGGCATTGCCACAGATATCAAGCTGAAGTGTGCAGAGCTGGGTAGTCACTGAGACCAGCATTTTATGCCGTACCAGGGACAAGCTGACAGGACCAGAGCATCATACATGAAAGCTCAGGAATGGGACAAAAACAGACTTCAAGAAGCAAAATAAAACCTACAGTTAACAGAAGCTCTTATCACACGAAGGATCCTGATCCAGCATGGGTCAGGGCCACTGCACAGGCTCCACGGACCGACTGGAAGTTCAGACAAGGCCTGAGCTGTGAAGGTCATGGCGGTTACCTCCAAAGGCAAAGGCTGTTAGTGAACAAGGGCACCTCTTCTGGGCCCTCTGTAGTTCTTAACAGGAACGAAGGTCAGGGTGAGGGAAAGGAAAACAAATTCGTTCTCTCAAGAGTAGGAGAAATTTTACCCCTAAAAAGTCCACCGGAAGAAAAATGCTCACTTCTCACTCTCCCACCCCCATCTTTGGTATCAACATTTTGTCCGTACAGTACTACCGAGTACTACATAGTTGGGTCTGGCTGAGGTGAAAACAAATCAGGAAGACAGTTTCCAATTACACTTGAATGTGAACACACGTTTGCTCACAGCTTCATTTCTGAAGGTTCTTGGCTCTGTCCTGAGCCTTACTAGGGGGAAGTGGTAAAGCTAAATAAATTCTACAAATCAACACAAAAGAAAAATGGCACATATCAGCCACCCCCCCCCCAACTCGCCCTGAACCATTAGTCAGTGGAAACAGCGTGGTTGTAACACCTATAATGTAAGGGTAACAAAGCTAGCGTAAGTCTAAGGAAAACACAAAGAAATGCCCAGAAATTACTACACCAAAAAAAATTACTCATTTGTTGAGTGCACTTCTGTATTTCAGGGTATTAAAAAAAAAAGAAAAAAACCCCGTTGCTGTCGATTCCAACTCACAGCAACCAACCCTATAGGACAAAGCAGAACTGCCCTACAGGGTTTGCAAGGAGCAACTGGTGGATTCAAACTGCCGACCTTTTGGTTAGCAGCCTGAGCTCTTAACCACTGCGCCACCAGGGCTCCATCTCAGGGTACGGAATCCTCAAAACACATTTCATCAGATATTTACTCGTGCAGAGAACACTGGGTAGGTACCTGCTTCAAAATATATTTCATATTCTGAGAAGTTTATCATCTAAGCAGCAGGAGCACACTATGTAAAAAACAAAGTTACTGACAGATAAACCGTTGAGGGAAATGAGACACAGAATCTATAAATTATAAAGGCTCTCATGAAATCTATAACTTGCGCTTAACCGCCACAACTTTTTATTGTAAATTATATGCACATAATACAAGGGGTGAAGTCCAGCTTCTACCAGCCTTCCACTTCAGCTAGTAAAACAAGGATGCTGCAGTATAGGGATCTATTTGAGTGTCCATAAATATAGGCTGATAGATCCATAGGTTGATAAGCAAAACAGGTTCTTCAAAGGAGGGAGCCACTGGACACCTGTGAAATTTGTAAGTAACAAAAGGTAAGAAACAAGCTGTCTCAGGAGCTCAGAATTTAACGTCACGACCAAGACCCAGAACCACTGCTGCTGAGACAACAGGTGAAGATGCTCATGGTCGCTGAGGGATCAAGGATCAGAATCACAGAACGAGACGGACAGCCCACCCAGACCAGCCCTCGCACTTACCAAAGGTCACAGGCAGAAAGGTCCAGCCAGGACTCTTTGTCTGACAACTTGATGCTGCCCCCGATACCTCAAACATCCCACAGTGACGAGATAGACCCATCAGGTACTAACCGAGAAGGAGATCCAGCATAACTCTCCTGACACAGCAGATCACTCAGATTCCCAGATTCTGAGGGACAAGTAAAGTACTGACGTGGGCAAGGACTGGTAACACTATGTCACGAGGCAGGGTTCAGAGAAGCAGAACCACCAGGAACGATATAGAATAAGTGGTTAAAGGAATGTGACCTTAAGCAATTTTATATACCAGTGATACCAGTTGCCGTCAAGTGGATTCTGACTTGTGGTGACCCCATGTGTGCTGCGTAGGACTGTGCTCCATAGGGTTTTCAATGGCTGATTTTTCGCAATTAGATTGCCAAGGCTTTCTTCCAAAATGCCTCTGGGTGGACTCAAACTCTCACCTGTCAGTCAGTAGCCACGTCTTAACTGTTTGCACTGCCAGGGACACCTAAGCAATTGTAGGAGCTGGTAAAACAGTCTCTGTTCATCTGTATCTTCTTCCAGTGCTGAACCTGAATCACAGTAGGCTTGAACTGGTTCATTCCAGTTCAACCCCCTACTGAGAATTTGTATTCCTACCCCAAATATACTGAATCAGTATCTACAGTTTAACAAGATCCCCAGGTGATTCTAAGATTCAGCAAGGGGTCAAACCGGAAGGAACCAGTTCGAAGCCTTGAGTCACAGGGCAGGTGGCTGGGAAGGATGGTGGATATGCAGTAGGGGAGGGGAAGGACAACTGGAACCTGTGGGCAACAAGCTAGAACCTACATCTGCTCTTCACCAGAACCCACACTGGCCTCTCCTCATCTCTAAGCCTTCATCCTTGCTGCTACAGATGACCTGAAGGAGAAGCCAGTCCTCGTAACTGGCTTGGGATGTGGAAAAGCTGAAGGAAGAGATCCATAGGAGTTGTGGGCCCAGCTGCTGCCCATGCCAGAAATTCAACAGATGCTCGAAAACGTGTGTGATGCAACAGGACCTGACCTTCATGACTTTCAGTGAATAAGCGTGGTTACTGCTTGACTTCCAAATCTCACGCAAATTTCTCGTGTGGCCAACCCTAACCAGAAACAAACAGGGAAGGGAATTCTGGGACGTACAGTTCATCTTAGCCAAGCTGACATGTGGGAAAACCACCACGCATCACAGATACTAAATTAACTAGAATTCTCTCCAAAAATACTGAATTTGCCTATTGTTCTTCTTACTTCTCTGCTTCTATCTACTTAGGGCCCAAATCTAAGTTAATACCATGTTTTGTCCAAATTCTTTACAAGAAGAAAAAGAGATGGATGGAGAGCTGGCTCGCTGAGAATTTTCTTAATGCCATGCTCGATCTACCTGTCTGCCATGCTCAGACCATTAGCTGTTGAAACCTACTGAGAAAGCTCAGCCCTTGTAGGCTTAGTTTGCAGCCCACTCTGTGGTTTTATTTGTAAGCCATATTAAGTGCAGTGAAGATAATGGCATCTGAGTCCTGAGCTATTTTTATGGCTCTACAATCAGTCCTTCGTTCTTTGAAGGCGACTGGAATGTTCCTGTGTTCAGGGCTGGGTCCTGATACTCCAGGAACGCAAAACAGGACAATGATGGGGACGCTTAAAAATGCCACTTCCTGTCAATCTAGGTGAAAGGGGTACAAATATTCATTGTATTAGTCTTTCAACATTCATGCCAGTTTGAAATAAAAAAGGAAAAAACAGTAATGATGGTAGGGGGAACCTAGTCTAGCCATGTCAGATATTAAAATGCACTGTGAAATTATCACAGTAAAACAGTATTATAAAAAAACAGTATGAAATAGCATGGAGAGAAAGGTCAGTGGATTAGAATATTATCCAGAACTAGATCCTCAATTGCATGGAAATTTAATACATGACTGAAAGGGTGTTGCAAATTAGCAGGGGAAAGATGTATTCAATAAATGGTGCAGCTTCCCCTCCCATGACGTTTCCTAGAACAACCGTAGCTATGTAATAGGTTTCTAGGTTACAGAACATTTTTCTTGATGTATATTCGCTAATGAATTGCTCTAGCAATGCTTTAAAGACCCAGTAAAATCTTGACTATCAGATGGCATTATAAAGACTTCTTTCACCTGTGTGGCCCAACAAAGGTTCAAAGTATAGCTCCCTGGCCCTACCTCATTGCTTCCAACCCTTCCATGGCCCCCTCTGACCACCTGTGTCTCCTCAGGCTGGATAATTATCTCTACCCCACCTTCCTCCTGCAACCTAAGAGGAAAGAAAGGCCTCAGCTCCCAGAAAAGGCAGAGAAGTCACCCTCTGAAAAGGGCAGATGCTCCCTTGGGCCTCTTCCCTTGGCTCTGGTGTCCAACTTGTCTTTCTAGCTCAGAGGGAATGAACGATCTTGACTGTTTTGGTCTTTACAAAATCCTATAAGCTGCTGCTGCTTTTTTTCCTATGTCTGAATTTCAAACTAAGCTTTCCGTTGAGCTTGGAACGCTCATGTGTCTTCTGTCATCCAGCTGTTGTATGTCATACGTTTTATTCTGGGTTCTAAGAACCCCCCAAGAGCGTATCTGATTAAAATCCAAGATGGAATCGGATAGAGTTTAGTTGAGATATGCTAAATTACGCAGGATGAGTTTTAATCTTACGAACACACTGAAGGCTGCTTTTGACATGTACAAAACACCTTTTGAGTTTCGGAGGAATAAAGGGAGCAAGGGAGCGGTTATCCTGGGCTCGGCAACCTCCCTTTTTCCCGGCTCTCAGTCTCAATTCGCCTGCCTAGATCCGTTCCCTGCATTCCATTTGTGTGTCTGTGTGTCTTTGTGTGTGCATCCAGTCCTTTCTTTCTCCAGAACATCGAGGATGTGAAAAGTACCGCACTAAGTACTTGTGTAGTTACTCAAATTGTGTCATCTCCTAAACTCTCACAGAAATTCAGCAGCGTTTTGCGTTTTTGCTCTTCAGAGAAGAGGGCAGGGGCTGTATAGCCATGTTTGGATCCCCCCAGCACAATGCCTGGCACATCAAATGGGCTTAATAAATGTCTGTGGAATGAATGATCTCTCTTTATGGTCAGCTGTCAAAGCTGCAAGGTACCACAAATGCTGGTTAAAACCTTGCTACAAAAATCGGAGTCCTGCCAGTGCTGATGTAATAAAAAGAAACGTGAACTATGTCTGCATCAAGGAATCCAGTTACCCTGGGAGATGAGCCCGCTGAGGGAGGGGAAAGGAGTCTTCAGTCACCTGATGATGATATACGAGGGACACAACCACCTGGCACACAAACATACCAGTGTTTCATCAGGGCAGGAAGAAGGTGCCCCAGATGAAGACCTGCTGTGATGTCAACTAGTCAGGGGAAGAATAGTAACAACACACAGACCTAGATTAAATTAGTTCTTTATGTTTGTAACCTACAGCCGGAGAGCCTATTGCATAAAATTTCATGAAGGCATCAAGGCTACATAGAGCCTCTTAAAATAATTTGCCCCTTCTCTCCATGTTTTCTTTCAACTAGCTAGACTAGATTATACACTCTCAGTTTAAAAAAAAAATAAAATAAAAACTAAGCAAAATAAAAATAATTCCCAATGCTGAGTTCTGTAGAGAATTCCTAATAATTCAAATGTTCCAACTTCGGTTATCACTGAGAATTAGCTTGGTTCATTTCACATAAGGAAAATGCATCAAGGAAACCGGTAGGGCTAAGTCTGATTTTCAGGCCAGCGGACAGCTTCACATCCACTTCCGGGAGTACCAAAACCTCCAACCAGCTTCAAACCTTGGTCACACGTCATGACTTTGGTTCCAAATGTCCTCAGGGTAGTGGTGATGGTGCCAGGCTCTATCCCACAGAACAACAGCCTGGCAGGATGGGAGAAGCAGCTCTACAGCTTGAGCTCTCGGTCTGGTTTCATGCTAAAGGGCTCCAGCCTCTCGCTCTCGGGCAGCATGCTGTTGAGCCTTTCCATCAGGGGCACAGTCTGGTCAATGCCCATCTGTATGCGGCGGAGGATGGCAGACATCTCATTGACTTTCTGGATCTGCTCCGCATACTTGGCATATCTTTTCTGGCGCTCCTGCATGAAGCTAAAGAGGGTTTCTACAGACAGATCCATCTGTAGAAGGGAAAGAAGTGAAATACATTAAAGGGAGTTTAATCAAGTCCTCTGAAGATGATCAGGTGTACAGCGGGATGTGCTCTTCTCCATTCCTGTCCTCCCTCCCCTGCACGGCTGCAGTCTGACAGCCACTCGGGGGTAAAACTGCAGGAGAAGGGGTGGGTCTCCCTGCCAGAGTCAAAAATGCCAGCCAAGGTTCAAGTCCATTCAAGGGCCCAACTACTTTGAGTCACACTGTTAGGACTGCTTCGTGTACCCTTTCTTCCTCCATTAAACAAACGTTGGGAGCTGGGCTCCCCTTTTGTGGCCTCTTTTCTTCCCCTGACGAAGTTCTTTGGAACCTACCATATGGATAAAAACAGGGAGAGAATCTCAGCTTGTAAGGAACCTCCCCATCGACCCCCACATGAATCCCACCATTAACCCCCTCCCCCTTCTTCCTTGCCAGACCAGGGAAGAACACGGGCAAACCACCAAGACCCCCACTTCTATCCCTAAGTCTGTCTGTCACGCTGCTATGGCCTTGCCTACGTGTCTGTTTACTCCAGGAGCACACCCCTGCCCACCCCAGCATCGTCAAAGTGCTCCTCAACACACGTCACCACAGAACCTCTGAAAATGCTTTTGACAAGAAAGAGAGAGGGAGACCAAAACCTGCCCCCCAAAAAAATACCCAGTTCTATTTTTACGTTGTGTGTGTGAGAGAGGGGGCTGAGGAGGAGGGGAGGTGTCAGGAAGAACAGGAGTGCTTGTCTTTCTGTGTTGTTTCTTCCCTCACGTCTTTTGATATGCCTGGAGGGCAAAAAAGAGGAGCTGGTGGGAGGCGGGCACAGGGAGAGAAAACAAAAAATCCATATGGATGGGAAACTCCGAATAATTTGTAAATAATTTATACCTTCAGAGGGTTCTCTGCAACCCTGTTCAGTCATTCAGCACTCTGGAGGTGGTAAGCCCATAAATTACAGTGTTCCTAACGGTTGACCACTGGGTCTTTTCAGGATAGGAAATTCAATTTAGCACCTACAAATGTGCCACCTTCTGAGAGACAGTGGGGTGATGCGGGGGCCAGGTGGAATCCTCCTAAGAATCAGCACAGCTCATTGAACAGCCTGCTCCAGAATTCAGAACCTTCTGGGTGATTACATTTCACTTGGGAGAGGCATTCCCTGCCCCCACCACTTCCTCTACCAAGGCTAGACAGGCACTTGAGGACTTCATCTGAAATGGCCTCCAAGGCTCTAACTTATCATGTCTAATGCCCTAGCTAATCAACCCATCCCCTGCACTATTAGTAGTTTTTACAATCATCTTTGTGAGGTATTCAAATGGCATACACTTCCCAACACACTTCCACAGCCCGCTGGGGCGCACGTTTAATGTATTCAGAGCACTTCTGTCCAAAGCCACTTTCTGTGTAACGTGTAGGTGAGCAGACATAGTCCGAGCATGCTGTTCATTCATGCTTATTCCCTATCTTTCAAGAGGCAATTCCGTTACAGTCCATGAAAGAAAAAACACCACACAAGAGGACACTTGAGTTTGAGTGACCTCCCAGGTCTGATGGTGACAGAACCAAGACTAGAACCGAGATCTCCTAAGTCCAGCATCTTCCATTTACATCTATTTCCTAAGTGAGAGATGTCTACCATTGGTGGTACATGAGATTTCAGTTGGTCCATGGCATGGCATTAAAGAACATGGAATCACGTGATGGGAAAGTTACTGCTTCTTCAATCTTTTTCTGTTCTTTCTGACTGCTGCAAAGACAGTCTCAATGTGGAGCAAGTTAAGACTTTAATACTTGAAAAACTGTAATAAAGCTGGGGATGCTTCTTTCGGGTGTCCCTTTCCTTTGGGCTCTAGAGGCAGCACTGCCCTCGACTTCAGTATCTAATGCAATTCTGAATCAGGACCTGACCTTTCTGACATTCTGGAAACATACCCTTATTCACCTTTCCTGCTTCTGTTTCTAGCCATGAAGATTTGCACAAGGAAGCATTTATACCCACTGTATTCGTTTTGCTAAACGGAGGCGTAGTGGTATGATCTAAGGTTCCCTCGCCGAACACTCCACAGCCATTCAAACACATATACCTCAAAACAGGGCAACCTAACCACCTCAGTTGTAGCTAAAGGGCAATGATGAAGCTATTTGTGAAATATTTTTAAAGTTTTTGCTCACTGCTCTCATCCACCCATTCATCTACCAATCAAACAATGGTTAAGATTGTGGGCTCTGGAGTCAGATTGCCTAGGTTTAAATGCCATCCTCTATCCATTATCTACGCAATTTTAGAAAATTAACTAGAATGATCTACAAGGGCAAGGATTTTGGTATGTTTTACATCCTGAATCGCAGTGGAAACCCTGGGGCATAGTGGTCTTAAGAGCTACGGCTGATAACCAAAAAGGTTGGTAGTTCAAATCCACCAAGTGCTCCTTGGAAATTCTACAAGCAGTTCTACTGTGTCCTGTAGGGTCACTATGAGTCGGAATTGACTCGATGGCAATGGGTTTGTTTTTGTTTTTGTTTTTTTAAATATCCCCAATAAGGAGTCCTGGTGGTACAATGGTTAAGCACTCTGCTGCTAACCAAAAGGTCACCAAATCAAACCCATGGTTTGAACCCACCAGCGACTCCATAGGAAAGAGATTTACAGCCTTGGAAACCCTATGGGGCAGTTCTACTCTGTCCTATAGGGTCACTATGAGTTGGAATCGACTCAATGGCCTGACTCAATGTCACACAACAATATCCCTGGTACGTGCACATAGCAGGTCCTGAATAAATATTGTTGAATAAAACGAAAACTTATCTAAGCCTCAGTTTCATCATCTGTAAGGTGGGGATAACAATAGTAGCTACTTCGTAAGGCTGTCCTGAGGATTGACTGTGATACTGCATGTAAAACATTTATCACATTCCCCAGCACAGAGGGAACACCTACTAAGTGTGTACTATATACAGTCAACAGACAGTTCCTAAGCGCTCATCATGTGCCATACACCATGCAAATCCTAAGGATATAGATACTGAGAACCAAAACTACACCCACACAGCTTAGTGTGTTCATCAACATGACCTTTCTTTTCCACTCTCTTCATTAACATGACTTTACTATTCCAGGAAAGCTGCAAATAACTTTGTTCAGAAACGCTAAGGAAAAAACCGATTTAAATGAACAGACTGGTCAGACTTTCCAATAGACAGTAAACAACTGTTTATTCTGCTCGACTCTTGCTTCAAAACCCTCACCAAGCTGTGACCATGTGACTCAGTCCTACTCAATGGTGTATGTCTGTGGCCACCTGCCTTCCAAGTTAGCTGGCACGTACTCTTTGCTTCTCTTCCTCTTTGTCTCTTCCTCCACTCTGTTGCTGCTGAAATGTGGATGCTGCCGACTTAGACCGTGAGAATAAATAAGGTCACATCCTAAGGTTGGCAGAGCAGTGAGCTAGAAGCAGCCTAGGTGCACGAGAACTTTTATGAGTTAGAGTAGGACCAGGCCTGGGAAACGGGAATAAACTTCATCTTGTATAAACCACTGTAATTCTGGGTCTTTGTAACACCAGTTTAACTTAATCTACTAACAGAAATGAATGAGATAAAGACCAAGTACCTAACCTCAAAGAACTCATCATTTACTAATACATATAGACGCAAACATACACGTTCACTGTTAAGTGAACTGGCCTGGAAATCCGAGAAAAAAGAGTATCTAGATGTTGACCAGACAGTTGTCTCAACAGAATGCCTTTGCTGAAAGCGTCCAATGATGAGTAATCATTCCAGCTTTGCTATCAAATATATATAGTTTGTGGATGAAGACAGTGGACTTAGACAAACCTGGATCAAACTGTTGTTTCTTAATTATTTTCTTAGTATTTTCAATTGTCTTATATGCATGTGAAAGCTGGACTTTAAATAAGGAAGACCAAAGAAGAATTGATACCTTTGAATTATTGTGCTGGCAAAGAATACTGAATATACCATGGACTGCGAGAAGAAGGAACAAATCTGTCTTGGAAGAAGTACAACCAGAATGCTCCTTAGAAGCAAGGGTGGTGATACTACATCTCACATACTTTGGACAAGTTATCAGGAGGGATCATCCCCTGGAGAAGGACATCACGTCTGGTAAAGCAGAAAGTCAGGGAAAGAGGAAGACCCTCAGTGTGATGGATTGACACAGTGGTTGCAACACTGAGCTCAAGCAAAGCAACAGTTGTGAGGATGGCAGGGACTGGCACTGTTTTGTCTGTTGTACACAGGATCGCTATGAGTCAGAATTGACTCAATGGTACCTAACAACAACAATTATATTTGTGACCTTGAACTAGTTCTTTAACCTCTTTGAGCTTCGGCTTCCTCATTCCTAAACCGGAGATAATGATAGTACCTATCTCATAGGGTTGATGTGAAGATTAAATGAGACAACATGTACAAAATACCTAGCACAGCCTCCAGAAAAAAAGTAAGACCTCCATAAATGATAAAATATATGGCAACTGAAACAAAGCGTGTCTAGGGTACCGTGTGTCTTTACATGCAGACTGGAAAAGGTAGGGAAATGTAGTAAATGAGGGCAAGCAAAAACGACATTCTGAGTATCCAGACAGACGCTACATAGCTTTGTTGTAAAGGTGCGGAGCTTATGCTTATACCTCATTGCGACTACATGTAACTATCCTTAAAACTTACACACGCAGGTGACAATTTACCATTGTTTTTTGCTGAACTATTTTATTTTTGTTCCTAACTTCTGCTACCGAAAATCTTACAACAGAGTCACATTATTCATCTCAAAGTTCACTGACAGAAACATTTCACACCAAGTAATAACTTAATCATTACTTACCTACAAGTCTTTCTTAATGTGTTTTTGATCTATATGTTCAGCCATGAGAATAAAAAACTATCCCCACTGTTTGGCACTACCCAAAATGGTAAGATAAAAATATATAAATGCACATGTATGTGTTTATATGTGTATATA